ACACAATAGGAAGGGCAAAATGGCTATTACACACCTCAATTGTGGTATGAGCGATAAATGGGCCTGCAATGTGGTAGAATGAAAAAGAATTAGGCCAAATGTTGCATATATGTTAATTTTCTTATTAAATTTTGCATGGGATAAGAAACCGTTAAAAATAACAATTTTTTGATCTGGCATGTTTCATAATTATTTTTAACAAAAAAAAAATGTTTCATAATTGTAATTAATTTAGAAAACCTTATAATGATCAACTAAATAGTAAATTTTGGTTTTTCTGTTGTTTAGAAATTTCTTTATTCAATTTTAAAATTTATTCAGCCTAAAAAATTTCATTCTATCGATTTCATTATTCTATGATTAATCTACTTTGTTATTATCTCATTCATCTCGCAAATCCTACAACGTTCAAACTTCCTATTCAAGCAAAAGTTGATCCTTATTTCATAAATTTTAATCAATAAATTTGGCTTAAGAAAACATTATTGTTTACAAAAAAAAAAGTTTTGTTTTGAAATCTTTCTAGTATTATCATGTAAATGTCGGAAAAAGTCCATAACAGTACAATCAAGTTCTATCATTTTGAAAGAATAAACAATTATTGTGTATGATTAACTTCGTGGGATGAATCCAAAGTGTGAAATGAACTTTTATATGAAGATGACTCGACACCCTACTGCTTTTATGAAATTCTGTCTCATTTGGAAAATTGTTCGTGGACGATGACCATGCACGTTCCTTTCTCTTTTTCTACACAAAATGCCCTTACTAATTCTTTATCATCAACTGCGTTATTCTATTTCACACGAATAGTAAATATTTTCTTATTACATATTTGAATTTTTTTTATCCATGGTTATAATTATTGGATAGTTTGAAATACATAAAAACTGAATATCACTTTTATATTGTAAAATTTTCTTTTTTAAAATGTAATGTTGAATTATATGCAAGAAAGAATAATGGTTGTCACATCAAATGCAAATGTTTTTGATTAATTTGAGAATTGGAGACAAAAATAAACTTGAGAGATGACAAAATTTAACTTCTAGAAGCAAACCAAGCTAAGTGGCATGGCTGGAGTTGATGTCCCACAATGTCACCTTCCATTGCGCTCTCTCCATATCGAGTGTACTGCTATTTGGAAGCTATATTATACAATTTTCTGTTACAATAAAAGAAAATTATCTACGGTAAATGGTTATTTGTTTTCTTCCTTTTACAAAATACATTACGTGGTTTGGACTATGTGATAATGATACAACAAAAGCCCTAGTATATACCACTAGGCTTCACAGTGAACAATTGTATATATAAAACTGACAAAATGTTATGCTATTTGTAAAGCATTGCTCTTTTGAACTACATATGGTGAGTTTAATCATAGATGATATATATTAACGCTCATGTTATGTTACTCAAAAAAAAATTTCTTTTTATAAAGTAGATGTGAGAGTGAGCTTTTGAAAATGTTATAAAAAATGTCATGACATGGTAAGAATTGACGGTTGAGTTATATTCCGCTTGGTAAGAATAGAAAAGATGCAATACATTAAATAGTATTTAATGCTCTCTCTGTTTCAAATTATATGATGTTTTAGCTAAAAACATATTGTTTAAGAAATTTAATTTTCTTTCTAAAGTTATCATTTAATATTTGATTTTTAATATATCAACCAATTACAAAAGAGACTGCCTAATCTTTATAATTAAAAATATTAAATATATTTAAGATTTGCATTGAAACTTGTAAAACATAAACACAATAAAAACTCCGAAACATCCTATATAATGAAATAGAGAGAGTATAAATTTTTTGCAAAAGATATATAAAAGAGAGAGTTTTAAACAATTTATTTGTGTAACACTTAATAAATAAATAAACTAACATAAAAAAGATACTTTTTCAATTTTTTACCGCCATAAAATGATGGTGGTACAAAACTTACCGCTATCCGCAAGTATACCGCAAACTCATATCACCTCCTTAGCTTTGACTGTCATCTTTTGAAAACCTTAATACTCTCTCCGTTTCGTTTTAGTTGTCGTTTAAGGTTTTTTCACACAAATTAAGAAAAACATTAAATTTTCTGTTTTATCCTTTATTAATATATCTTATAAATTTTTTCATTGGCCAAAACATTAAAACAATAGAGATAATACTAGAAGTTTTACCAAACATTTGCATTGAAAACCTAAAACGACAACTATCGAAACAAAATTTAAATCCTAAAACGACAACTACAACGAAACGGAGGGAGTAAATGATAATATAGGAAATGGTACCAATTAAATCCGATAGATTCAAATGATAAAGATTTGGCCTAAAAGTATTTTGTCCAGTTTCAACCTAAAACCCTGCAACTTGCAGCCACAGTACTCCTGTTTTACGCTTGTCGTTTCGCAAATTACTTCTCAAAATTTTGGTCGTTTAGCACATATTCAAAACTTTAAATAGGTAAATAATTAAAACTCTTTTTTTAATTAAAAAAATACTTTATGGAAGTTGTAACTTATATTTTTAAGTCGGTACTCACATTGAGAGTGACCCATAGAAGTAAAAACCTAGCTAATAAGACTGAAAATATCGACGATGTCAAGACAAAAATAATTAAAGAACTGTCTACATATTATTATCATCTCCACTCACAATCCATTCCCGTGGCCAGAAAACATCTCTGTCACAGTCTCATTCAGTCTCTCGATCTTTCTCTATTCGCTTATGTAAGGGAAGATATTCTATTGGATTATGTGCAAACAAAGACAAAATACATAGAAGAACAGCGCAGGACGTGTATCATTGATAACTCTATGGAACTGTTCTACCAAAATGGGCCTATGATGAGCTTGTAAATAGGCCAGGTCCATCATATGTCTTTTTTTGGTTTTTTTTTTCTTTTTAGATCATTTATCGATGGTCTTAATTTTATTCCAACCAAGCCGGGTTAGTAAATAGGCCCGTCCATCATCCTTACTTAAGGGCTTTTTTTTTTTTTATCCTTACTTACCCTTAGGGTTCCTTTATGGTAAAATTAAATTGCCAGTGCATTGTTTCCTCTATAGGTAAAGAATGAGTTACTTCACCGAGTTTTATGGCATGGAAATTAAGACCTTTTTAGCCGTGTGACCACTCATACGCTAGTGGTTTTGTACTAGATAAATATTACAATGTTAAAATGTACGTAAAAGCCTTTACTGGTGCCATATCATCAACATTACAAAATTGGATTAATTAATATATTAGTTACAAAATAGTTTTAAAACGATTATTAACCAATTTTAATGTATTGATGATATTGAAAGTGTTCGATTTTTATATTATTAGATAAACGGTGATGTATTAATGATTATCAAGATTAGTGAAATTTTCATCTATGTATTAATGTTTATGGTTATCATAATTTATGATATATATATATATATCTTGGTATATTTATCAATATACAAAATATTAGGTACTCCATTATGTATAGATTTATATATCTTAATTACATATTTTAATTATATTTTTGTTTTAATTAATTGAGTAAAATAAAATAAAACATAAATTAAGTGGAAAAAAATAAATATAAGTAAAACTAATTGCAAAATCTGTAAATATCTTAATAAATATTGGGTTTTTAGTTAAATAGATTGAGAAGCTCTATGAGAACGACACGTCAGCATGACATTTTTGTTAATCACACATGAAGATAAGGGTATTTTTATAAAATGTTTCTCAATTAATATAAAAAGGGTAATCCTTTATAAATTTAAGCAAAGATGTCGAGAGATTTAGTGGTTTCTATATACGTGTACCAAAATCATAACCATAATTTTGTTTCGAATTCTTAGATTTCTATAGAAATATAAATAAATGTAGTTATAATTATTAATTTTTGAAAATATAGAATCCTTCCAATAAAATCGGATTTTAAGTATTGGTAACATTAAGATATACTGAAAATATTTTCTATTATTATCCAAATCAAGTAACATTTATTTTGTATTTTATCATTAGATGAAGTATTCATTTTCTCTAAAATATTTGTATCATAATTCATAAGATTATATGGTTATGACTTATGCAGTTTGAAGATGTAATTTTGATACTAAAGACAAAAATAGCAATTAGCTTAGGACGAGATTTTAGAATTTGATGAGACTGGTGATGTGATGAATTGGTTCTTGATATATATATTTTAATGTTGTGAAATTATATGAATGAATCATGAGTTTTTTCATAAACATACGATCTTTCACTTTTGCAGATTTATAGAAGTTGGTGTTGAAAAAAGTTGATGATGACGACTTGATTTGTGTTTGTGTATTTTGCTATGTATGTTCTTCAATCTTTATTTCTAGATGTATTTTATAGATCGTTATTAAGTTTTGCTTTGCATTTCAAAATTTTGGCGTAAGGTTATCAAATTCTCAATATTGACCTGAAAGTATTATATTAATGAAAGCCCATAAAAGCCCAATAATAACCTTGACTGACTTTCTGGGGCGGGGGTTCGGGCTTGTGACGGGCCGATCGAGCTGTCAACGGACTAGGCCGAGCCGAGTACAAAAAGAACCCTAAATCAGAACATTAATACATTACATATATAGAACATTTTTGTTTTAATTTTAATTCTCAAGTTAGTTAAGACTTAAGATTAGGCAAGTATCTCTCTGGATAGCTTTTAGATTAGGCACATATCTCTCCGATCTCAAAAATGATCTTAAGCATATCTTTTAAATTGAGAATCTATTAAATATTCTAAATGTCAAGTTAAATATCTCTATGGATAATCTAAAGATCTTGGAGATCTTAAAAATAATCATGACAAATTAAACACTATTTTAATTTCTTTTTTAATACTTATGTATTAATTGTTAACACACAATAATCGGATCGTAATAACATGTAAATTAATGCACCAGCGAGATACGGTTAAGATCACATGGGATCATGTTCTTTAAGTGTAACCATCGACACAAGATGCACATGATCAAACCAAACCAAACCAACTATATTAATAAATGTCTCAAAAAGGTAATTAACTTTTTGAATTATTATTAATCGATTAATTAGGTCATCAACAATATTCCCTAACATTAGGTCAGAGCCATTAAAGAAGCAACATAGAGATTCTTCTAGATTAATCGATAAAACCTTAAAAAATTAAAAACTCCTAATTAACCTAAATCCTAAAAAAGATTAGATTGACCAAATCATAAAAAAAAACGATATTTACAAGAAAAAAAAGGATTAAATCTTCCAAAATTCTAAATCGATTTCATCAAGCATTACCATTAATCATCATCTTCTTAAACTCTTCAAAATCAACGCAACCATCACCATCAGAATCAACTTTACTAATCATCCTTTGACAATCTTGAACCGAACACTTCTCACCAAGATTCTTCATAACCGAGTGTAACTCATTAGCCGAGATTCTTCCATTACGATCCAAATCATACAAATCAAAAGCTTCTTTCAAATCTCTAATCTCATTACTATCACTACTTTGATCATTTATTTGAAACAAAGCAACAAATTCATCCAAATCAATGAATCCATTACCATCAAGATCAAACTCTTTCATCATAGATTTGGTTTCTTCTTGCGTAGCGTTTGGAGAGAGAGCTCCTATCACGTCTTTAAGCTCATCGATAGAGATTTTCCCATCGTTGTTTTTGTCGAATCGTTGGAAAACTTTCTTGATGTCTTCCATTGAACCTAAGCAGTTTCTTGAAACGTTCTTTGACATTGTTTAGAGAGGAAGAAAAAGATTTAAGAAATTGTGAGAAGTGAATGTGTTGGTTGGATATAAATAGGGTTGATGGTGAAGTGACGTTTTAACGCGGTTTTAAAGACGCGTGAAAGATTGCGTGAGTAAAAGCTTTTATATTATTCTGATTTTTAATATACTTTACTTGTGTAAACTCTCTTGCAGATTTTCTTTTATTATTAAATTTTACGTGGCATTTATAAACTAATTTATTTCTGTAGGATATGATGATATCTATCTATTGATATATTTGATGGGTATTTTTTTTTGGCTTTTTACAATGTGGTGGATTTGCAAAATATTTTAATGGGACATAATACAATTAATTTTAATAATAAAACTATATTTTTAGCTAAACATTTATATATTTTTAACTATATTTATAAAACTATAAAAATATATTTTTAGCTAAATATTTTATATGCATTGATAAAAGAATATAGAAAATATACAATTTGTATAATTTTTTATCCTATATTTTCTATTCCGTAACAAGATTTTCTATATTCTTTTATCAATGCATATAAAATGAGAAAATCTTGTTACAGAATAGAAAATATAGGAACAGAAGTGCAAAAGCCTTGAAAACAAACCAATAAAAATATTAGGAAAACTAAAGCCAACAAAGGAAACGAATCTAATAGTAATGAATATACCATAAATATAATCAAGTTAAATATTTGTTTTTAAAAGTTATTTTTTTAAATACTCCTATATAGTAGTAATATATTAATTAAAGACACGTGAATGCTTCCACAACAGAACCACATAGAGGTGACAATTGTTTGCATAATAGAGAAAAATGTGGATCCAGACTCAGAGTTCTAAAGTCCAAAAAATAATAAAAGACTAAGCACATCAAAGAAGAGAGGAACCGTCATCATTCTCTCATCAACATTATCTCATCGGATCGGATCTCTACTTTGAGTCCAATCCAACTCAACAAGATGATGTTCAAACAAAAATGGTGAAGGTTCCTCTGTTTTAAATTCACCCGGATTTTAGTGGATATTAGAGTATAAGATTGGTTATGATTGGTTTAGTGTAATTCATAGATTCAATTCCGGTTAACTCTGTTTCCTAAACCGGAACACTCTCTCTATAATAAGAGATTCGTTGTAACTTGTTTTATCAACATCAATGAAATGAGTTTGTTTGATCCTCTCTGTAACAAACTTTCTTGATTCTCTCAAAGTTCTAACATGGTATCAGAGCGGTGAATTCAACTTCACCATCTTCGATTCTCTCTTCCGCATCGATTTTTCTTCACCTTGATTCATAACAATGGTTACTCTCCGACGAACTTCCAAACGATTAGCTCGTGGCTCCGGTTCTGCAGCGAAATCAACGAATCCAGCTCGATCTAAGACCACTCGCTCAATTCCGGTGATGTCTTCACCTATTCCGGTGATCGATTCTACAAATCCACCTATTCCGGTGAATATTTCTACAAATCCACCTATTCCGGTGAATGTTTCTACAAATCCACCTATTCCGGTGAATGTTTCTGCAAATCCACCTATTCCGGTGACTTTCGCGGTTAATCCTACCGTTCAATCTCAAAACTTCAATGTTCCGATCTCGATTCAAAGTCAAGAAGCCTTTGCGTTTGATGGAATTCAATATTCACCTTACTTCTTGAATAGTGGTGATAATCCGGGATCTTCCATCATCTCTGAGGTACTTAATGGCTTGAATTATAATACATGGAACATCGCTATTACCACTGCATTAGATGCTAAAAACAAGATTGCTTTTGTGGATGGTTCACTTCCGAGACCATTAGATTCGCATCCGCATTATCGAATTTGGTCACGATGCAATGCAATGGTCAAATCTTGGATTTTAAACTCCGTGACAAAGGAAATCTATGGAAGTATTCTTCGCTTTAATGATGCTTCTGCGATTTGGCAAGATTTGATGATTCGTTTTCATATAACCAATTTGCCAAGGTCTTATCAACTTACACAGCAAGTCTGGTCTCTTCAACAAGGTACTTCCGATTTATCTACTTATTATACCAAACTCAAGACGTTATGGGATGACCTTGATGGAGAAGACTGTGTAAAGACCTATCAAAATTGTGAATGTTGTCATGCTAATGCTACTAAAGTGGAACACAGCAAGATTATCAAGTTCTTAGCTGGTTGGAATGATTCATACTCAAGCATTAGGAGTCAGATTGTTATGAAGAAGAATGTTCCAAGTCTTTCAGAAGTTTACAATCTTCTTGATCAAGATTTCAGTCAAAGGAATATTGTACCAGTTCAGAATGCTTCTGTTTTCAATGTGGCTGCTCATGAGACTATTCCTGTTTCTTTTAATGCTGCTTACAATGCTCAGAAGTCTAATAGGCCTATTTGTTCACACTGTGGTTATAATGGTCATACAGCTGACAAATGCTATAAGATTCATGGTTATCCGGTGGGGTTTAAGCACAAAGTGAAATAAGTTCCTCTTAAACCCGTGGTAGCTCAAGTGTTGCAGCACCTGCTATTACAGACCAAATCACTGTTGCTGAACAGCCTGTTGCTCTCTCACAAGATCAGATACAAGGAGTTATAGCCTACTTCAACTCTCAATTGTCATCACCACTGGATCAGTCTTTGATGTCGTCTACCTCTGGTGGCACCATCACTGCATTACCTGGTATGGCCTTCTCTTCCTCTACCTTATGTTTTGTTGGAGTTTTGAGGGCCACAGGTAATACATTGTCATCAAAGTCTTTGATCATTGATAGTGGTGCGACACATCATGTATGTCATGACAAGAATATGTTTGTTAACATATCTGATAACTTCCATGATAAATCAGTCACTTCTTGACTATTGTTGATGACCATAGTAGGGTGACATGGGTGTATTTATTGAGAACAAAATCTGAAGTGTTGCAGGTCTTTCCAGATTTCATAAAGATGGTAGAAACTCAGTATAATGCTGTAGTCAAAGGAGTGAGATCAGACAATGCTCCAGAGCTACAATTCACGGATCTTTATAGGTCCAAAGGCATCAGATCCTACCATTCTTGCCCGGAGACACCAGAACAAAATTCTGTAGTCTAGAGGAAGCATCAACACATATTGAATGTCGCAAGATCCCTTATGTTTCAAGCTTCTCTTCCTCTTGAATATTGGGGAGATTGCATATTGACATCAGTCTTTCTCATTAATCGATTACCTACTCCATTGTTGAAAAACAAAACTCCATTTCAGGTATTGACTTCGAAGAAACCTGAATACAAAGGCTTGAGAGTCTTTAGCTGTCTCTGTTATAGTTCAACATCATCAAAGAACCGCAACAAGTTTCAGCCAAGGTCCAAAGCTTGTCTCTTCTCAGGATATCCTGCAGGCTACAAAGGGAACAAATTGTTAGATTTGGAAACACAAACCATTCATATTTCAAGGAATGTGGTTTTCCATGAAGACATCTTCCCTTTTGCCACTGGTACGCCTAATTCTTCAGATTTCTTTACTTTAGTGGATTCTGCAGTTGTGAGTAGTCAGTCTCCTATAGTCAATAGTGAACTTCCTGTAGAGGTTAGAGAAATACCTACAGTTGTGAATGAAACTTTGACTGAAACTGATACTCCTGTAAATGATAATTCTAGTAAAGGTAAAGGCAAAAGAGTCTCCAAGTCTCCAACATATTTGCATGATTACTACTGCAATATGACTATGACTAACATCCCTCATCCCTTAGCTGCTTATATGTCATATGAAAAGATAACAGAAGAATACAAGGCTTACATTTGTGCAGTAACAAAGTTTGCAGAGCCAGCATCTTTTAAACAAGCTAAGAAGTTTGATGAGTGGATAAAGGCGATGAATGAGGAACTTATAGCTCTTGAGAGTACTCATACGTGGTCTGTTTGTTCTCTCCCGTCTAATAGCCATTGGATGCAAATGGGTCTATAAGACTAAATTGAATGCTGATGGTACTTTTATGCGCTATAAAGCACGCCTTGTTGCAAAGGGCTACACTCAACAAGAAGGAGTAGATTTTGTTGATACATTCTCCCCTGTGGCCAAAATGACTACTGTCAAGACACTTCTAGCTGTTGCTGCTGCTAAACAATGGAGCTTGCATCAACTAGACATATCTAATGCCTTTTTAAATGGAGATCTTGATGAGGAGATTTATATGGAGCTTCCTCCGGGTTATACAGCAAAAGAAGGAGAAACACTGCCACCAAATCATGTCTGTAAGTTGCATAAATCACTTTATGGTTTAAAACAAGCCTCTCGCCAATGGTTTCTGAAGTTTAGCTCAGCTCTTTTAAGTCTTGGCTTTCAGAAATCATATACAGACCATACATTGTTTGTGAGGAACATTAATTGTAAGTATGTGGCAGTTTTAGTCTATGTGGATGATATTGTCATTGCAGCAAATGATGATGATGAAGTGGCTCAGCTCAAGCTTGATTTGCAGAATATTTTTAAACTCAGAGACTTAGGAGATTTACAATACTTTCTAGGCTTAGAGATTGCCCGCTCTACAAAAGGTATCTCTATTTGCCAAAGGAAGTATACTCTTGAGCTTCTTGAGGAAACTGGATTACTAGCTTGTAAGCCTTCTACTATCCCTATGGATCCGAATGTGAAACTGATTCAAGATGGTGATGAGCCAATACTTGAAGATTTTCAGTTATACAGACGCTTGGTAGGACGTTTAATGTACCTCGCCATTACACGTCCAGACATTACTTTTGCAGTGAATAGACTATGTCAATTTACAGCAGTTCCCAAGGCGTCTCATCTGCGAGCAGTTCACAAAGTTCTCCATTATTTGAAAGGTACTATTGGTCTTGGTTTATTCTACTCAGCAGACTCTGACATGACTCTTAAGGCTTTCACTGATGCTGATTGGGGATCTTGCAAAGATTCAAGACGATCGACTACAGGCTATTGTATGTTTCTAGGTAAATCATTGATCTCCTGGAATTCTAAAAAGCAGCCTACAGTCTCTATGTCTTCAGCAGAATCAGAATATAGAGCAATGGGATTTAGAGTGAAAGAGGTTATCTGGTTGGTTAATCTTCTCACTGAGTTGCATGTACCTCAGTCTAAATCAATAGCTTTCTTTTGTGATTCTACTGCTGCTATACATATCGCCAATAATGCTGTCTTCCATGAGAGAACAAAGCATCTTGAACTTGATTGTCACAAAGTCCGAGAATGTGTGACTAATGGTTTAATCAAGACTCTTCATGTGAAAACAGAGCAGCAGCTTGCAGATGTGTTCACTAAACCGCTTTATCCCAGCCAGTTTCTTACTCTACTCAGCAAGATGTCATTACTTTCAATATACATGCCATCTTGAAGAGGGGTATTAGAGTATAAGATTGGTTATGATTGGTTTAATGTAATTCATAGATTCAATTCCGGTTAACTCTGTTTCCTAAACCGGAAAACTCTCTCTATAATAAGACATTCGTTGTAACTTGTTTTATCAACATCAATGAAATGAGTTTGTTTGATCCTCTCTGTAACAAACTTTCTTGATTCTCTCAAAGTTCTAACAGTGGATAACTAGTTCCAACCGGACTAGCCTGACCTAAAGTCGTTTATTATATCTAAACAACTTTAAGAGTGTTTTAAAACCATGATTAAATTTCTAAAATATTTTGATTTTCTTAGCTTTTCGTAATTTCAGTTTACAAATCAAGACATTGTTTTCACATTTGGATGAAAATTTCTACATCTACTTGACTATTAGAATAGAATTTATAGTTCTTTATCTTTTAGTTATTGTATAATTTTAAATCTCTTTATGTTTACGGTTATTCATTTAGCATGATTATAGCGAGTAACCTACTAATCTTCAACTACAAGAAAACTTCACAAATTCCTACTGGTAATTTTAAATGGATTTGATTTAAGTTAAATTTTAATGTTTGATGATTAAGAGGTAATGATTTAGATTTTTTTTGGTTAAATTATACATTTAAGTTGTAATTATTGATAGAATTTACTTGGCAAATTCAGAAATTAAAGGTTTCATATCTGAAAAGTGAGTAGAGTTTGCAAATAATTAATACAAATAACTTTAACAAACAAAAAATTAAGAAAGCAATGTGATGTTTGATTAGTAGTCTGTAGTCACATGACACGCGTAAAATATTTTATGTCGAATGTGTGGACTAATCTCTATGTTGGCGTGTGGATGCATAAAATAATACCAAGTCTCTTTCGACACTTCTTGTATAAGTGACGGTTGGATGACAAATTATTAACGCATTTATTCTGTTAAATACGATAATTAATTAGGTATGTAACCATATTGTCAGAACTAGGGTCTTATTGAACACATAAACCATTTTCTTTCTTGGCCTCCACCTTTTCGATTGTCTTAGGGCCGCCGGCACTTGTCAGCGATACATGTTTCTTCTTTTGATTTTCTTTGCTTTCTGTTTTAATCTAAATCAGTGAACCTTTCTGTTTTGGATTTCTAAATCCAAATGTATTCTTCTCTTTTGTAATTTTTAAAAATGAATATAAGCCTTTGTGTGTGTCGGATCTCTTATCGAAATGCAATTTCTGATGGCTATGCCGTATTTATTGAGGCATATTTTGTCGATGACCGCCTTAGAAATCGCCATGGAATCAAATCATAAGTACTTTGCATTTCTAGTTGTCGAAGAACATCAACAAGAGAATCGAGATCATGGATTTATCATGGGTGATATTTACAACCAAAACAATGTCATCGCTTGTCGCGGAAGATGGAAATGTTGGTATGGTTTGCGATGTAACTGATAGATCGCAACCTTTTGATTTTCAAAAAATGTATTGGATTTTCATAAAAGAGATGATAGCCAAACAAGAAGATCAAATTAGACGGAAGACAAAGACGATCAAGGAAAATAATAAATTGATTATCTGTTAACATGTAAGGCTTACCTAAAAAAAGAAAGCAACGTGTAATTTCAATTTTTTGATTCTTTTGTTTAACTTATGGATTATAGAGCTTTTTTTGTATGTTCATTGATATATTTGTGATCTTTCATTAAAATTAATAAAGGAGAAGTTAAAAAAATTGTAATAACTAGGGTCTGATTGGAGTCTAATTTGGTTGAGGTTTTACTTTTTGCTGTAAAATTTGTAAGTTTTTTAGTCCTGGTTAATTGTAATTTTTTTTTCTAAATAAAAGGTGTGATTAAGTAGAGTTTGTTTAAGGTTTTTTCAATGAGATTTTCAAACTCTATTCCTACCTAGTCAAGCTAAGGTGGTTCAAGCCTCTACCCCTACACATTCTCACATTTATGTTTTCTCATTTCAGACCTCTAATTCTTACACCCCCATTTTAAAACAATCCATTCTTTTAACGGATCCCTTTGCTATTTCCCCTAAACCTCTCTAACTAGGGGACTTGAAACTACACCCTCTATCACTACCAAATCAACATCTTCAACTCTGCATATTACAGTGACTCCCGAGTCCCCGATACGTATGGAAGTCACAATTCGTCATCTTATTTAAGATACTTCTCCTTTTGTACGCACTCTATGTATGAGTTTGTGTTTTGTTGGAGCTCTACAACAAACTATCAAGCCTTTTCGGGCTTGTGAAGTAACTTTTTTCATAATAAAAGCTTTGCGACAACAGTAGTTACCAAAATCTAAACATGCCATTATGCCAACAAGAAAAAAAACCCCACAAAATAGAAAAGATAGTCACAAATTCAGTCTGTTAAAACCTTAAGAAACTACTTGACCTCAAATCAAACCCAAGACACTAAAAGGTCGAATCTTTTTTGTAGATAGTAAAAGCCTAAAAGGTCATCACATCACCACTTTTATTCTTCATTTTCTTCTTATCATCACTTAGCCATCATAATCTTGACAAACTCCTCGTAGTTTATCTGACCATCTCCATCAACATCTGCTTCACGGATCATCTCCTCGACCTCTTCATCAGTCAGTTTCTCACCTAAATTAGTCATCACATGGCGCAGCTCTGCAGCGGATATAAACCCGTTCTGGTCTTTGTCAAACACCCTGAAGGCTTCTTTCAGCTCTTCCTCTGAGTCTGTGTCCTTCATCTTCTTAGCCATTAGGTTTAGGAACTCAGGGAAGTCAATGGTGCCGTTTCCATCAGCGTCAACCTCGTTGATCATGTCTTGTAGCTCAGCTTCAGTTGGGTTCTGCCCTAGTGACCGCATCACTGTTCCCAGCTCCTTTGTGGTGATACAACCTGTTCAATCAGTAAAAGATAACATTAATAAAACTATGTCTTGTGATAAATGTGTCCAACAAAACTTTTTGAGCTACCAAATCCAAGAAACAACCAAACACATAACCATCAATGGATGCCAGAAAAAGCACTATAATCTGAGACTCTTTCATTATGGAAAACTCATGATCTGTTCTAAAGCACACATGATTGTTTGCTTCTCTTACGACACTAACATTATCAGAGAACTCAAACCTGTGGTAACATACCTCCTTGCAAGTATATTCCATGAAAAAATCAGATTGATATACATATGAAACATGAATGAAAACCAGGTATTGCGATAAACGTTTTTGAGCCAACAAAAAAACCAAACACATAACCATTAAACGGATGCCAGAAAATCACTAGAATCTGAATATCTTTGACAATGAAAAAACCATGGTAGATACTAAAACTAAACAGTATCTTTGAACTTAAATCTGTAGCAATATACGAAGAATGACAACTTGAGACGATTAAGAACAAGAATCAGAAAAGAAAATATTCTGCACAAAGCTAAGTAACATTTATTCAAAATTTCAAATACTTGTTCATTTTGGTATAACAACAACAAACAATTAACGAATAAAGATGCAAAATACACCCAAAGACCACTGACCACCCAAATTTGATTCTCTAACCTAGTTTTCACTATTTTTTCCTCTGAAGTGAGAACCCAAAAAAACATCAAAATAGTGAAAGAAACAACATCAATCAATATAAATCACCTTCAAAGAAACATCAAACCACAAATCTATGCTAAGAAATTAAACAACATTAAATCAAAAGAGACAATCAATCGATTGAATCAACAACGAAGCAACAAAACCACACGAATCACATGAATCAGAGATCGAATCTAGCAAAACCAGAGCCTATACCAAATATAAAGCGTAACAAAGAATCAGACTCAAATATTTTCCGAATCTGACACCGATCGTTGACGAAATCGAAAAAAAACGAGATCCGAAATGGTTTTAACAACGATCAAGAGAGATTCTAAAGAGAAAGACTAACCATCTCCATCTTTGTCGAAGAGGCTAAAAGCTTCCTTAAACTCAGAGATCTGTTCATCAGTTAGCTGATCCGCCATAGCTTCTTCTTCTTCTTCTCGTTTCTTTGGTTTTTCGCTTTCACAGACGAAATGATTTTTTTTTCGGAAGCAGTGAAAATATCTTTAGCAACCGACAAAAACAATTATACGACAATGAGAAACGTTAAAACGGAATTAAATTTAGGAAATAAATTTATACGGAAAATAATTTGGTTGGGTTTTTTAGTTAATCATGTGATTAGTGGATGTGGGGCTTTGAGAGGAAGCCCAAAGGCCCTTGGATACACGTAAAGGCTAAGCAACAATTACAAATCCTAAAATTAAAAAGTAATACAATTTTTTTTGTTGAAATGGTATATGAATTAAATTAATACAGTAAATTACAAATCCTATAAATAAAATAATTACAAGTGCTATTTAAAAAAAAATACATAAAAAATGAAATCTTATTACATAAATTTTGGTTTTCAAACTTGCTAAATCATGTGATTGCGTCATGTGTCAAGTCAAATATAAAATGTCGCTATGTGTCAAGTCTGAATTTATTAGTATATTTAAAGATAAAAACAGAAAAGTTCTTAATTCTACCAAAAAATAAATTCAAAACATAAGTAAAAAATTTTTGTTTATATATTAAAAAGAAAAATAAATTGTTGATAATTTTTTTTGAAAAAAGAAGGAAAATTTGTCTATCTACTAATTTCATTAAATTTCAAAAAAAATTTTTGTTAGTATAGTGAACAATTAACCTAATTATATTGAAAAATAATATAATTGAAATATAAAATCTTATTATATTGTTTCAATTTTAAAAGTTAGTAATTTTAATATGATTGTGATATCTATCAATTAATTAAAGTATCTTATTATATAAAGTATGATTTTCAAAGTTAGTAACTCATAGGATCGTGCCATGCCACGTGTCAAATTTATCGATCTCAGATTTTGACACGTGTTAAACAAAAATTTCCTTTTATTTATTTAAAAAATATAGGGAAATTATATGCACATGTCAAATTTATCAACGTGTAAAGCAAAAAAAAATATTTTTTTTAAAAAAATTTTATAAGAAAATTATATGTATATATTTTATATAAAACAATTCTAAAAATCTAAAGAAGATAAATATAAAGAAACTAGATGTATCTTATGAAATAAAAATAGAAATTTAAGAAAAATATTATAAGGCAAACTATATGTAACCTATTAAATAAAAATAGAAATTAAAAACAATTTACTAATTCTAATTTAAAGCTACTAATTCCAAAAGAAAAAGAATACCTTTTTCTTAAAATAAAAAAAAAGATTTCTGAAATTTAATGAAATTAGTAGATAGACAAATTTTATAATCAATGAAATTATAAAATTAGTATAATATGATAATTAATGAAATTTTATAATCAATTATTAATCCTAGAAGAAAAAAGATTCTAAATACTCACCTCTATAGTTAAACAAATAGATAGATAGACAAATTAAGAATATATGGCGATGGAAGCAAATTAAGAATTATAAACGGCGATGAACATAAAATAGAGTTGTTGTTGAAGAAGCTAGACCTGATGTCGGAAGAAATAAAGAAGGTGGAGAAATAAGAGCAGTTCGGAAAAGACGGGAAGATGCGGTAACGGTGGTGTTTGTGTTGATGAAGGTGGTTCAAGCTTGGTGGTGGTGGCGGTAAATATTGATGAAGGTGGTGGGTCGGAATTAGCGAGATTTTGTATTGATGGTCATGATGATTGTTGTGAGTTTCAGTTGTGGTGGTGGCCTGGTGGGTCGGAGTAGTGAGATTTGGTGGCGATGTCCGACGAATGAGAGAAATAGTGATATGGAAAAAGAAAAAAAATATATGGTGGTGAAGAAATCCAACGAGAGAAATAGAAAAAAAAAAATTGACAAAAACCATATAGCAAATAGACATTGTTTAGTTAATATTATTTTTTTAATTTTTTTTTAGTCTTAGGTTATTTAGTTCATATTTCTTATGAATTTGTCTCTTTGTTTTGAGGATTTCTTATATTATCAAGTAAAGTTACATGATGTGAATATAGACCATCTCATATTGTCACAATTTTGTTCTATCTTGCCCACATTAAAATTAGAAAGTGTTATACACTCTTCCGATGGATATAGATAAATTATTAAAATTCAATAATACACATATGAACATTTATTAAATTATCATACTGTAACATATAATAAAAAAAACTACAAAAAGTATTTTATATTATACATTATGCATAGTTAATCTATATTTAACAAATCATTAAAATACTACATTTTCTAAAATTAAAACATAGTTTTATATAATTTTAGTTTAACATACAAAAATAAAAAATTGAAAATTACAATTTCGATCGGTAATCCGTGTAACGCACTGGTCCATATCTAGTATAATTAAAAAGGATATACTTGAACTAAAACAAAAAAGAATTATTAAAAAAAGGAAAAATATCTTATTTTATAATTAATATGATATGTTTTGGTTTCTTTAGTTAATAAATTAATATGATCATGACATGTGTCAAGTCTATCTATCAAAGTTTTAACCGTGTGTCATGATTTAATTTAAAATTTTATATTCTTTATTTCAATTTTTTTTCCAATTAGAATTTGTGATGATTTAAATTAATGTTCATAATATTTTTCAATTAGAAATATGTGAGTCAATATATGTTTTTTCGTTTTTTGTAATATTTTTCTTTAATTTTGTAATTTTCATTGTCAATTATAATTGTAGTATTTTTAGATTTTTTTTTAATTTTTATTTCTCTTTTCATCATTGAATTATTGAAGATTTATATGTCAATACATTAATAATTTTTTCATAATTTATTAGTTGCACTTTTAAATTATTTGTTTTAATTTTTAATTTTAGTTTAACTTATGTAAGTTTTATCAATCGCTGAGCAACCGCTGGAATGTTCGACGTTGTCGCAGCCTAACCCTGTGAAGCATAGTCTCTTTGCTTGAAACAATACCAATTCTGCAGCCTAACAAGGGACCTAACATTCCGCTTTGGCGCTATGATCTACAAAGTATAACCCCTTCTTTCTCTACAAGGAATACCTGGCAGCAAATTAGACACTCAAGACCAGATTCATTGCAACCGAGTAAAATTTTCCTTTAACACTTTCGTTATAAATATCTCATCAATTATTGCTTTATTTTTTTTCATTCGATATATTTTTTGAATTAACAATTTTTGTGGTTAAAAAAACCATTCAAAAGTGAAAGTATATAAACATATAGTTGGCTTAAAATTACTTAAATTACATTAATAACCCAACTATTCCAATTTTGATCTCCAATTTAGAAATTAATTCTCGATATAGGGCATTCCCTAACCCATCTAATCAAAGAATCAAGGTGGAACGCGTGATGGCATGTAATATCAGCCAACGGTTCGTCGTCCGAGTTGAATTCAAGGAGAAATATTTCGCATTCTATATTGAATAGAAACTGAAATTCTTGGGGAAGAATGGGAACCAGTTCTTCTTCTTCTTTGCTGGAGTGATTTGAATCAGAGTTGACCACAACGTCCAAATGGATGTTGTCGTCATCTTCATCATCATTACCATCACATTCAACCAAAGAATGTTCAGCCTCCTCATCATCATCAGCATCAACCGGAGCTTCATCATTCGTACCGTCTCTACTGAGTCTTAAAAAATAATATAAAAGAGAAAATAAAAGTAGACCTAAGCCTACAACTAAAGCAAGAGAAGCTAAAAATATCAAAGAGGCTGTATTTACTATATTATAACATGTCATCTTCAACACCAAATCAATGCATGTTGTCGGCTGACTAGTGATACAGCCAGGTTTTAGTCCTAATCTACTAATCCAAAAATGCACGATTAATATGTTGCGGTAGTTGTTGCTTAATTGCGATCTTTTCTGGAAACGTCCTTGGCCAAATGAATTGATTTGAAATAGAATGCGCAAATGGTCTGAGCTGGTATCGCTGACCATTTGGCATAGCTTGCTGCAAATAAACATGAGCTTGAGAGATATATGTGATTCGTTTAGATTTAAGTGAGCATATAACGTGAACAAGAATAGTGTAGCTAGAAAGTCATATGTTGTAAGAACTTGTTACTAGGAACACTATGTTTTGGGATTTAGTTTCCTCAATATGAAATCCACATTGGATCTTCTCAGCAGCAATGATGTTTAAACATATTAATTTTTTGGACAATAGGCATTGATTGAAGCCACGAATCTGCCTAACATGATTACATGAGCACCCTCGAGTCCGTGAGATCGATTTCTGTGTTTCATTCTAGTATTGCTCCTCCTTGAATGTCTTCTACAATATGTATAAGTGTAAATATAAAAGCACAATGAGTTCAAACTGTTACAAGAACGGTTTATTTTATTTTTCCAAGCAGATTTATTATTTATTGAAAACTACTGATCCTGAAATGGCAACACAAAATGGGTTTTTGAGTTCCAATCAAGAACTAAGGACCGACCTAGTTATAACGATGATTGATTCTAAAGTACATTATCTTAGGCGGTGGAAGCTTTGAACGAGTCAATACAGCTCTCAGTTGCAAATGCTGTGTCCCAAAACTTTTCAAAATACTCAGCATATGTAAAGTTTCTGTAAATAGCATGAGAGTCTTCTTCCTCATTGATCAGCTCTTGTGCTGGACCAATCATAGCATCTTCAGAAGGACAGTAGAATGTCAGTATTGATATCCTCTCTTTGTCGATGTTCACAACAGCTCTGTGTAGCACACTCTTGTATTTGTCATTGCTTATCACCTAAGAGGAGAAACAAAATAAGCACATAAAGTTAGCACAAAGAGAGTGAACAAAACAGAGTATTTTTTTCAATTTGTTTCCTAATTACCTGCATCTGGTCACCAAGGTTGACTATAAAAGTGTTGGGAACAGGATTAACAGCAATCCATTTACCGTCTTTGAAAACCTGTAAACCAGAGACTTCATCTTGAAGAAGAACAGTGATCAAGTTTGCATCTTTATGTCCGGGAAGTCCGTAAGTTAGCTCGGGTTGCGGACACGGCGGATAATAGTTTATAGCCATGTGTTGACCGTGTTTTCCTAAAGTATTGCTTACACGGTCTTTCACAAGGCCTAAGCTCTCTGAGATTGCCTCAAGAAGTGTCAGAACCAAGGCTCTAACGCTTGTAGCATATTCAGCTGTGACTTCTCTAAAAGAAACTGGAGTTGAGGGCCATTCGTGAATGAAATCTTCGATAGGATAACAATGGAGTCGAAGGAAGTCTCTCCAGTTAGAGACTTTCTCTTTGGAAACGTTGAAACTTGTGGAGAAGAATTGATTGACAGAGAAGAAGTGGACTGAGAGACTGAGAGAGAAGAAGAAGGTATGCTTAATTAGCTTCTAATACAAAGTTATACTAATATAAGAAAAAAGAAGAGAAAGGTCACAAATTAAGAAGTAGTGGATTTGAATGATTTGGGTGAACTTTTAGATGAGATTTCAGAGAATCTCAAAAATACAAAGATCCAAATTACATAGTTTTAGGTGAAATGTATGATAATTTTAATTAAAAAGATTTATTGTTCATTAAAACTCATCAAAATCATCTGAGAGCTCATTGAATAATTAATCATTCTCCACCATCCTCCCTTACATCTCTCTTTTCTACTAAATTCCTTTTTGTTCTATATAAAATATTTACAAATAGCACAATACTACTAGAACATAAAAATAACTATTATAAGCATGATATTCATAATGTTTTACACATAGATGTATCTTGCTTATAATATTCAATTTTTTACATCATTGATGTATATAACATATATACGTATGTTTAAATTATGTTTACATTATGGATATATATATATATATATATATATATATGCTTATATTTTGCTTATATTTTTCATACATATATGTGTGTATATATATATATATAATTTTTTAGAAAAACATATTAAGTTATTCACCCACAATCACATGATCGGACCAATTCAACATGAAGATCTGGTGACCCAGAAAATAATCCGATCTGATTTATAAGTTGTATTTATAACATATTATAAAACGAAATACAACCACCATAATCTTTGAACAATGAATTTTTTAACTATATCCTATACTATTATTTGGGGAGTACAAATTATGGATTACCCTTAATTAACCTTCCCCTTTGTAAGAATTTACTTAAGAATGTCATTAGAAATAAAATTTTATAGAGTAAAATAAGTCAACTCATTAATGATAAATAAGTCAAATACTATTTTATGCAATTTAATTAATTTAATTTAATTATAAAAACAAAAATCTATTATTAATTTCTTTAAAAAGAATGACCAATCAAAATGAACATATAAGATTTGATATCTAACTTACCATATTAATTTGTTATTAATCATTATACTTCACCTCTCATTTTTATATGATTCTATTTCTATAAATAAATAAAGGGAGACTCACAAAAATTCCCCTTTTTCAATACCCCTTTTCAAAAATGCCCCATTTGGCTGTCCATTTTTAAAAATACACCTTTTTATGTACAAAATGACTAAATTACCCTTGTTTTAATAAAAGATATCACAAATATATAAGAAAAACATGAGAATGTGCTCACATCAAAATTACAAATTTGATTTTGTAAAAACTTGTAAAACCTTTAAAATACCTTGTAAAATTTTCCCATAAAAATTTTTCCCGCCAAAAAAAAATTTTTGCGGGAAAATTGATTCCGCAATATTTTTGGCGGGAAAATTTTTGGCGGGAAACATTTACAAGGTATTTTAAAGGTTTTTTACAGGATATTTATAAGGTTTTACAATGTATTTTAAAAGGTTTTACAACGTATTTTTAAGGTATTTATAAGATATTATAAGATTTTACAAGCTATTTTATTAGGTTTTACAAGTTATAAGATTTTACAAGTTATAAATACCTTATAAAACCTTATAAGTACATTGTAAAACCTTTTAAAATACATTGTAAAACCTTACAAAACACTTGTAAATACTCTGTAAAACCTTTAAAATACCTTGTAAATTTTTCCCGCCAAAAAAATTTTCCAAAAAAATTGCGGAATAACTTTTCCCGCAAAAAAAAATTTTTGGCGGGAAAAATATTTACGGGAAAAATTTACAAGGTATTTAAAAGGTTTTTACAAGTGTTTTGGCGGGAAAATTGCGGGATCACTTTTCCCGCCAAAAAATATTTTGTATTTTGTGGACCTAATTTTGTTTCAAGTAAGGGTAAAATGGTCATTAAAAATTAAAAGAGGGCAAACTTAAAAATGGACTCTCAAAGGGGGCATTTTTGAAAAGAGATATTGAAAAATGGGCATTTTTAACAATTTCTCATAAATAAATCATTATATCATCTATATAATTAAAAAAAAAAAGTAAAAATTTTTCCGCATATACCAAGATTTGAATTTTTTAAAACGAATATAAATTATTCAATATATGAAAAAACAAATTTAACGGGTCAAAAATTTATATTTGAGTAATATATATATATATATATAGTTTTTTAATATCATCAATACTGAATAGATCAAAAATTTATAAAGTATAAATACTCTAATTTGATTTTTTGAAACAAATATTTATAATAAGCGGCGGGTTGAATATAATATATTATATGATGAAATGAGTTATGATCCTTATAACTATTTGAATATTTATATTTAATTTCATATCATTTTTTTAATTCATAATTTTACATAATACAATAAAAAAATTAAAGATTTTAATTTGGAACATTTTAAAATAGTTTAATTTAATATATTAAAGAATATCATAAATATTTAATAGATTAAAAAGATAAAAAAATTATAAATACATTAATTTGATTGTTTTAAAAGATATGTTTAAAATATTTATAGTAGGTGGCGGATTAAATGTAATGTATTATATGGTAGAAAGTTATGATTCTTATAACAGACGGCATTTTAAGATTTTATGATGAGATGAGTTAAATAAGGTTTGACACTTATAAATATTTGAAAATTTGATTCTGCAAGCAATTTTGAAAATAATAAATAATAGATTGTGCCGCAATATTTTCATACGGATTGTAAAATGAAAATATAGACTCAACACACGATTGAATTTGGTATTATTATATACCAAATATATGTTCATAACTTATTTCATTATGTGATAATTGGTAAATTCCATAATTAGCTCAAACAAATCTCTATTTCAACAACTAATGAATCAGAATTTGAAAAAATAATTTCCTAAATTAATTCAAAATAATAGCTAATTTTCTTAAGTAATTCAAAATAATCTACGTTTTAGATGCGATTTATTTATGATATTTTGATTTTTGATCTAACTAAATTATATGCACTCTCATTTTGTGGTTGTTAATATAAATTAACTCATTGTTCAAACAATATTATTTTTTTTAAAAAATAATCTTATTTTCTGTTTTCATATCTTAAAAAAAAATATCCATAATTTAATATTATAGAAAAAGGAAAATATATTCATTCTAATATTATATATAGGGACTTACAAAAAAATATTATTTTTTCACTTACTATTATAATATATCACAACTTTATTATAAAACATAAAATTTATAAATTTTGTAATAAATGAAATTCAACCCGTACTACAGTACGAGTGATGATCTAGTATATATATATATATATATAAATAATTATAAATAAAAATATTCACAAAAGTAAATATCTTAAAATTAACTGGACGTGCATGTTTGATTAACTAATAATTAATAATAAAATAGATTAACTATGTAGATATGTATTTACTAGTATATTAACGAGAGACAAATATGGGTGGATAACAAACGTCACTTTTTCAAAATTTTAATTTTTTAATTTTATAAATAAAAATAATATATTACAACGATAAACGGCGATACACACTATTTATGTTTAATGGCCGAAATTAAGTATATAAATATTTTACTTAGGCCACAATATCCTAAGTAATTTATTAATTTTATTTTGACTACTGATGTTACTATCTACATTTAAATTAAACAAACTCTAGAATTTAAAATTGTAAACCGGTCATACTTCAACAGTAAAATATATGATTTGGTGCAAAAAAACATTTTTAGTGCTCAAGTAGATATTAGATTTGTAAATAGATGTAACTAAGATGAATGTTTGACCGGTTATTTGCATCTAAAACATTTTCCAAAGAAGTTGTAGATTCATATTTTAGCCAAGATTCTGAAACCATGTTTTTTGTGAATTGGCATTACTAATAATGATGAATATTTGGCAAACGTTTTTGGTGATTGAGAATTTAATTTTACTAGATTATTTTTAATAAATGTTATAATAAATTTAAAATATAGAATTGCAAATTAGTGTATTAATACAAAAACGTATATAATATATATAACTCTTTTTCTAACTAAAAATCATCTATTTACTTCGTAAATATATTTTTTACTTACAACCAAATTTTAATATATTTCTTGTTAAATTTAAATTTATTTGAAATTTAAAACATGTCCATCGGACAGGTCCTAATCTAGTTGTAAATAAAAATAGGTAAAGAACCTGTGCATAACTCTATGTCCAGAAAACATTTTCATTGGAACATCCCTGAAAAACAAATTTTTACTTTCGAGTTTAAAAAAGTGTTTACTCAAAATTAGTTTTATCCTAAAGAGCTGATAAAATTGTAAAAATTGACATTGATTAGTGTAGATATCAAAAGAGAGATGAACTAGTGGTTTTTAAAGAGATGAACAAAACAACGATTCAATATTCTTTATATGAGTTTAAAATTCCGTTATTATTTTCAATTCAGGAGACTACGAAATTTGATTCCGAATCTCCGATACACTAAAACAAAATCAGTTAAGCCAACATTTTTAACTAACCTAATACTATTATTTGAACACTAATGGCTATGTTAACTAATTTAAAAATTACCTAAATACACCTTTTGTAATGGCATGTTTTCCATTAATGTGTGTGAACATTAAAAACATAAAGAGTTCGAATGGTTGCGGCGGTTAGGACGGACAAATCTGTTTGCGGTTCGGACCCCTTTTATTTACCATTCATAAACTATAATCCGTAGTAGTGCGGATTGAGAAAAATAATACAAGTTCGCGGCAGACTAACTACCGACCATTTTTACGTAAAAATAAACTTGATCCATGGTGGTTTGGGATCCGCTCCAAAAATAAGTCCGCTAACAGTTTAGTCCTCTTTTTCCACCACATCCATTCAAAGCCAAACTGTTGAACTTCTAACCCATTACCAGAAACAATTCTGACAAAAGTTATTTTTGGTTTAGGGCTTGAATGTACGAAACGGAACGTGTGTTTCAAAGGGCGGAACTACTATTTGCTTCCATTAAGCACAACTTTACTTTTATTTAAAAAATAAAAATAAAATAAACAATTAAAAAAGGGTAGTGCGGAACCAATTGTGGTTACCTTCGTTTACAGTTGACTTCCTTATTTATTTTATTTTTTCCTACAGTAATTCTCCTTATTTATTCAACAAAACCGTCATCAACACATACAATTTTTCTTTTCAACATTTCTCTCATAATTTTAAAAGTGAAAATAGTTAATAATTTTGAATCAATGAAGTAAATAAGTCTGTTTTCTTTTATTACATTTTTTCTTTTCTAATATCTATTTATTTAGTATTTTATAGTTTTCAAGTTTTTTCCAAACCTGTATCTCTTTTAAAAACCAAAACCAAACCCGGACCGAACCGAGAACCGAATGGATACCCAAAAATACCCTAATATAAGTATATATTTAAAATATATTTATCTATCATATATATACTTGTAATAAGCCAAATGCCCAAAATTATAATTATACCCATTTTACTGGTACCTCATTTACTTTCGGGTAGTTTCGGTAAATTTAGATATATTCAGATTAATATTTATATTTTTATTATTATAATTTATTTGGTTAAATATATATATTATGAACCGCTTGTTGTATTTTTTACCATTCAAACATTTGTATTTGAACTGCATGTTATTTTTTTTACCATTCAACATTGTCTTGAACCGTTTGTTCTGTATTAACCGCACTTGTACCGCATGATGCGTTTTCTTAAAACCGTACCACATTTAAACCGCACCGCACTACTCAATCCACTTGTTCCGCACCGCCCAATCCGCTGTCACCATTCGGAGCTTTAGTCATTTTTTTCCTTTCCTTTTAATTTCAAAATTATTAATCTGGGAAAAGAAAAAATCATCCTTACCCTCATGTGAAAAAAAGATGGTTCATTGTATGGGTTTTGGAATTTGGAAAAATAAGTAAGCAATATATACACTAGTGGCAAATGGCCATTATATATCTACAATCAAACAACAAGCTCTTTATAAATTCGTGCAGTTGCCTTACACAAACCCCACGCTTTCATTACACACATAACCAAAATCGAAGTTTGAAAATTCTGATGGCAAATAAGCTTCTCAAGCCATTGGAGACACGTTCTGGATATGAAGAAGATGATATCATTTATCTTTCTCCAAGTCCCGTGACCGCTGCGACTTCCGAGAAAGAGGAGTTTTCTGGCAGCTCTGGCAAGGTACAGCCGTCTGAGATGAAGCGGCGTAGTGAAAGTGAAAGGACCCGAACCCGCTACACGGAGCTGGTCAACGTGTTGACTTTCTTGCCCGGCCCAAATCATCTTTAAATGCAAATCCGTCAATTAACAACGGAAAACGAACTCTTGACTTACCAACCTGCAAAAGAGAGAGGGGTGGGCGATTGAAAATCACTAGTGAGGGCAAGCCTTAGGGCTCGCGAAGTCCTCATACACAAACACGCTTAGACAATCACAAAGTCTAAAGCTAAGACAAGCAGACAATCACGTGTCAAAGACACACAAACATCAAACAAATGAGACTACTTCCCATAACCACTACCATAAAGGTAGGCAGGATACGAACGTATAACACACGCCGTCTACCCGTACATACTAGATTCCTCGTGCCTGAGCACTTCTTCCGTGCAACCGGATCCCTCGTGCCTCTTGCACTTCTTCCGTGCACCTCATACTCGCCGGCTCGTCAGCCATCCTGATCTATTCGGAAACGCGTCCATAGACTATCACACAACTACAAGGATCTCTCCTGTAGGACTCTCTCTGCGGCTCACCGCATCTACGTGCCATTAGCACATTCTCTCATCACACAACATTTATACCACACAAACATGCATTTCACGAATCACACAACCCGCATTAAAATATTCATTTTAATTTATTTTCATTTCTAAAATACTAGTTCATTTTATAAATAGGTATATATCTGTATATAAATACGTATAAATATAATATACAATTACCACCCAGATATATGTTACTTATAATGTAACATATAGGTATGCTCAGCTTAACCTTAAACTATCGGTATATGAAAAAGACACCAACTAGTCCTCACCTTAGCCAATCCAATTGATTTCTCGGTTAAACACTAGAAACATCATGAACCCGCATGAGCAACAATCTTGGGCTGCAATGGTTTAGATTAACCGATCAAGATTATATCCAATTTAATAATCCATGATCAAATCCTCCAAATCAATTAATGAGACAATCTTGGTTTAATTGATTTTTGGTGTTTCCTAATTAAATTATTTAGCTCCGGTTCAAGAATTAAACTAATAATTTAATAACACCACAATCCCAACATGCGTTTAGTTTAATAAACAATCTCTACACGACCAAAATTCTATGTGACCAGAATAATTACGTTTGGTATAATAACAAACTCCAAACCAAACCACAACAAACCAACGTCCACAGCAAACCAACGTCCCTAACACGTGAACAACAACCACCAAAGTCAACTCAACTTTTTCGATAATTACGTTCGATTCATGTAATTCAATTATACGTGGGATTCCATGGTTTCGATTATGGACTTAAGCTACACAAGGATTTATGGTTTAAACTGGTTTACTCTTGGTTCAATAATCTAAACAAACAACACTCCATCGACATGAACACGAGACAAGTTTGGCTGTTTACCTCTCTGCAACTTCTTCGACGGTTTGTGTTGAGATTGAGTTCTTGATTAAATCTGCAACAAAGGAGAAAGCTTTAGTGAGAAGAAGAAGAAGAAGAGAACAGAGCAAAGAGAAGAAGATGTCGACAAAGATCTCAACGACAAAGAGGAAAGTCAACACAAGAAGAGAGAAGTTGGGCTTGTGTTGTTTTTGTAAGAATAAGTGATTGGGCTAAATGTTTTGTTAGGCCCAAATGAGTAAGTGTGTTGTGTTAGTTAAGGACTAACTTACTAGAGTTGTCAAGTGTAGTGGTTAAGAGTTGTTGTTGTGTAAGGGTTAGTAATTTAACATTGCTTGTGTAAGAGAGTCTAGAACTAGGAGTAAGGTCCAAATGCAAGTGTGTGTATGTGTATGTAGTAAGTAGAAGTAAAGTATGCTTGTAAGTGTGATGAGAAAAGAATCCTTTGATCCGAAATATCAATGTAGACATTAAAAGTTCATAAACGTGTTCTTGTTTCTCAAAACAAAACAGGGAGAAACTGAGAGTTAAGGTGGTGAAGAGAACACCACATCAAAAGTTCAACAGTTTGACTTGGCGGGATGAGCGGCGCAGTGGAGGACTAGGTAGCACAGATCTGTGATGATTCAAACCCCAAGTATTAGATTGATTCAACAATCCATAACAAAACAATGATTGAAACCAAGGTATGGTCACGGGATACCTTTCCGGTGAAGACGATTCACACGGCGGTGATAAACGGTGGCTGTGGTGGTTCTACGGTTTAGATCCGGTGGCCTCTCTCTCTTCTCCTCTTTCTCTCCACTTTCCTTCGCCTCCCTTTTTCTTCATTTTCGGGTGACAGATCACCACCTCCTCCATCACGTTTCCCACGTGAAACCTCACGTCTTTTCCTCGAGATTCACATCAACAACAATAACAGGACAAAGTCTTTGGAAAACTTAACAACGGTGGCTGCGATCCCACTCTTATCGGCTTAGGGTTTTCTTGCTCAAGTTTTCTTCTACTTCCTTTCTCTCTTGCGGCTTCACGAAGAAGAATATACGCACATATATTCACGAATACATACACTAACAAACCCTCTTTTTCTCATTTGTGTTATGTCACTTGGGCCTTTAACGGGCTTGCTTCTCTTTTGACAAAATCAAATGGCCCAACTACCAATTATGGATTTGGGATGTTACAGAAGGGACCTCAACGGACGTGACTTCGAAGAGAGCCAAGAAGGTTTCAGCAGAAGATGAGAAGAAGAAGATGGGAGAATGTACAAAAAAACAATATTTTCAAAGACTGTGGAATGAGGAAGATGAGATTGTTATGCTACAAGGAATTATAAAATTTGAAGATGTTACAGGGAAAAGTCCGTTTGACGATAGTCACGGATTTATAGAATTCGTCAAGAAATTCATTAGCTTCGAGGCTAGTGTGCACCAATACACTGGCAAGATTAGGCAATTGAAGAGACTAAAAGGAACCTCAGAAACGGGTGGGACTAAACATGACCAAGAGGTATCCACTGAAGAAGCTCCTTTCCTTCTCTTTTTTCGGAAGAAGGGGAAGATCTGGACAAAATCGATGAAATGGAAGAAATCCGAGTGAATGGAAAAGACAAAATTAATAAGGATAATGAATTCCACGTTCGAACATACTATAACTATAAAACTGTTTCTAAAAATCTAGATGGAAATAAAGAAAATTCACTTGTTTTCTTCTTATGAGAAAAGAAAGAGCGGTTTTTCTGAAGCTCATGATCAAAAATGTTTCAAGCTTGCCAAGTCTATTTGGGGAACTAAAGAAACGGCTAAGAAGATGGACTCTTTGAAGTCGGACTTGTTCTCTTCACCTAATGGTAAAATGGTTGAAGAGGATGATGTAGATGTGACCAACTCTGATTGGTTTGAGAATTCGTTTCTACTTCCCTTAATTGAGAGTCTTGGTGTGGATTCCGTGAAACATAAATGGAGTGTTGTGCCTATGGAGGCTAAGAAGAAAATTGAAGAGAGGTTGGAGTTGTTGGAGGCTGATGAAGGTGAATGTAAGAAAATTAAAGAGACGTTGAAGATTAAAAAGCGTGAATGCTTGAAACAAAAGACTGACTTTTTGAATGAGGTGATCGATGTGATGACTTAAGCTAACTATGCCACTATGTCAAGAGCGGAACAATGTCTTTCACAGTCTCCTTGTCTTGTCTCATCAATCCTTTTTCAAGATGATTGACAGAAAAATCTGGAATTCTATCTCTGCTCGTTGACAAAAGAAGCATTTCGGTAACTTAATGCATTTTTGGGATTAGATGACTTCACTATTTACGTTCTTGTAATTTCATAATGGAAAATTTCCAAAAAAAACCTCAATTATTTTTTATTTGAACGTTTAATACCCAATTGTTTTCGGTTGGAATAAAAATATACATATTAATTAAATGGTGTGATTTAATACCTAAACAATTAAATATTGTTATTTTTATATTCACGAACTCACAACAACAAAAAAATATTCCAATTTTACCCTTATCATCTCAATTAATTATTAACTTTTAGATGACGTGGCATTTGTTTTTTATTTAAATAAAAATTAATTTTATTAATTTCTTTGTTATCCCAAAAAAAATAAAAATAAAAAATTTCAAAATAATTTGCAGTTTATTTACAAATATTTAATTTTTTAAAATTAAAAATAAAATTAATTAGCAAAAAATTAAAAAAGTAAAAAAAAAACATTAATCATTTTTATGAATTGATAAATCTTGAGAGAGACGATGAGAATCAGATTGAGATTTTGTCGAAAATAGTTTCATTCGTGAAGGATTTATATTCGAATAGAAAGTTTCTCACGACGAAGAAAAAATTCATATCGATGCTCGTTGATATCATATGCATCACAACGAATAAAATCAAATTAGTTTTATTGGCGATGAAGATTTTGGATACGATTAAAAGGAGATTGTGAACGGTTATCGAATTTGATGGTTGCAAAAGAGGACGATGGAGATTGTTTACCGGCGATTCACGTAGAGATTAATCGAGAAAATTTAGAATCGAAGAGGAAACGACTTTTTGACATTGCAAAGACTGAATAAGATTGTACAAATGACTATTTTTAATATTTTTGATTTTCTGCTTATTTTTATGTTTAATTTTAAAATAAAATAATTATAGAAATTTTTATTTTATTTTTTGGCAACATAAAATAAAACATTAATAAAATTATTTTTTATTTAAATAAAAACCAAAAGCTATGTCATCTAAAAGTTAATAATTAATTGAGATGGTTGGGTAAAATTGGTATTTTTTTGTTGTGAGTTCGTGAATATGAAAATAATAATATTTAATTATTTGAGTATTAAATCACACCATTTAATTAATATGTGTATTTTTATTCCAACTGAAAACAATTGGATATTAAACGTCCAAATAAAAAATAATTGAGGTTTTTTTTGGGAATTTTCCCAATTTCATAACCTTTTGTCGCCTTTCTTTTTTTGACGAGGTCTTAAAAAATTATAGGAAATAAAAATTCTTTTAAATCCTAAACATTCATTTCTAATGATATTTACAATTATATAAAAAAAAAAAAAGATCTTTTTCTTAATTTATCTAAACAATTATATCAAAAGAAAATAAAAGTTCTTTTTCGTAATTTATCTAAAAGTTCTTTTTTGGTTAAAAACGGAGAAAAAGGGATTAATTAGTAATTACGCAATCTAATCAAGTTTAAAAAGTTGTCATTATGTTATTAATAGCGCTATAATTATAAAACTCTGATCCGTTTCTTCCATTTAAATGAAAATGACTTTTCCGATTTCCTTTGGTTCCTCCGCTAGTTCTCACTGTCGCTCTCTCACAAGCATAAAACCAAAACTAGCGTCTCCAAAACGCGTTTCTCTATCCCTGCGTTTCCCGTTTGCTTTTTCCGGCGATGGCTCTCCAAGCCACTACTACGCTCTGCTTCTCCGGTCCAACTTTCCGATCAACTCCTCACTCATTCACTTCAAAACGCCGTATCTCCATCAAAGCTACTTCTTCTTCTTCTTCTTCTTCTTCAAGACTCTCAAACTCAAGATCTAATCTCAAAGGTTAAATCTCAAAGATTCCTTCATAACATTTTGGTTCTGTTTTCTCAAATTCTCATAATATGTTGAAATTGCAGAATTGCTCTCAGCTGCTTATGAATCTTAATAGTTGTTGATTTGTTCTGATTTGATACATTGTTTTGTTTTTAAAGGAAGAGCATTGTCTAGTGATGGTTCATCAACACAAGAATCTCCTTATGTACTCTGTTTTGGAGAAATGTTAATCGATTTTGTACCGACAACTAGCGGACTTTCATTAGCCGATGCACCGGCTTTTAAAAAAGCTCCTGGTGGTGCACCTGCTAATGTAGCTGTTGGTATCGCTCGTCTTGGTGGTTCTTCAGCTTTTATTGGAAAGGTAATGACAAAAACTATGTGTGTTCTTGTTTGATTTGTAACATTTTAAAACTCTGTTTCTCTTTGTGTATAGGTTGGTGAAGATGAGTTTGGTTATATGCTTGCGAATATTTTGAAAGATAATAATGTGAATAATGAAGGTATGAGGTTTGATCCTGGAGCTAGAACTGCTTTAGCTTTTGTGACTTTGACTAGTGAAGGTGAAAGGGAGTTTATGTTCTATCGAAACCCGAGTGCTGATATGTTGTTAGAGGAGTCTGAGCTTGATTTTGATTTGATCAAAAAGGTAAACTACCAAATTTTATACACTGCAAAACATGTAGCAAACCACATGTCTAACGAAGTTTCCTTGTGGCAGGCGAAGATATTCCATTATGGTTCGATAAGTCTTATCACAGAACCGTGCAAATCTGCTCATATAGCTGCAGCAAAGGCTGCTAAAGAGGCTGGTGTTATTCTTTCATATGACCCGAACCTTAGGCTCCCATTGTGGCCTTCTGCAGACAACGCTAGGGAAGAGATTCTGAGCATTTGGGACACTGCTGATATCATAAAGGTCTTTTTTTATATATATGGTTACATTTGCGGTATGTTATCTTTACCGTTCGTTATCGACTGAAGCTTGTTGTCTATGTTTGATAAAAAAAAATTTCAAGATTAGCGAAGAGGAGATCGTCTTTTTAACGAAAGGAGAAGATCCGTATGATGATAATGTCGTCCGCAAGTTGTTCCATCCTAAGCTGAAACTACTCCTTGTCACTGAGGGCCCTGAAGGCTGTCGGTACTACACCAAGGTGTGAAAAGTCCCTCTTTTTCTTTTGATTTTTCCGCACTTCTCCAAAGCATTATCGTAATCAGAACTACATATCCTTAGTCTTCATACTCACGTTTAATGGCGGTTTTTTTAAAAATATTGTTACGGCAATGTGAGATCATACGGTTCATACCATTTAAAATCATTTCCAATCACAGGATTTTAGCGGGAGAGTGCATGGATTGAAGGTGGATGTAGTGGACACAACAGGTGCTGGTGATGCATTTGTTGCGGGAATACTTTCGCAACTAGCCAATGATCTTTCCTTGCTTCAGGTAACCTGTTTTCATTTGTCATTTTATACTAGATGTAGCCGTTTGTAGATTGATGAGTTGGTTAGAGAGCAGTTAGAGAAGGCTAGATTCGTAAAGCTGTCTCAAGTTTGGTCAATTAGAAAAAGATTAGTAGTTTCATAATTTTGTTCATAACAAAGTTATCCTCATTTTTCGATACACATGACAACAAAAACACAGCTGAAAAAACTGACTACTTTGACTCAGGACGAAGAGCGACTGAGAGAGGCTCTTATGTTTGCGAATGCTTGCGGGGCCTTAACTGTTAAAGTGAGAGGCGCAATTCCGGCCCTTCCCACCAAAGAAGCTGTACATGAGGCTCTACTCAAAGCGGTCGTTTAACATTCAATAACATCACTCTGTAAGCCAGCAGATTTTGCAAGTCTGCATTTTGTTGTTGTATAATGTGCTCGCCATTGTTTGTATTCTAGTAGCTGTAGAGATTAGCCTTTGAAAATCTTGTTGAGCCAAGCACTTGAATCCATCTTTTGAAAATAGCTGTAATTCTCTGTTTGCATCAAAGAGAGATCTTGAAAATGATGAACTATTATAGCCAAAGTGAATTGGTAGGAGAAACTGTAGTGCAAACTGTAAGCCAAATTACATTTATCAGATAAAGAATTACATTTTTCTGTAATGAACATATTTTTTGTCTTCTGCCTTCATGTCAAATAGAAAGTAAGTCTTCATTTCATATTAATCAAAGAAGTATCAAATCCTGATGCACAAAACCGCGTTATTAACTTATTATTAACGAATTTGAAATGTATGCTTGATTTTCTAGTCTCCGGCAACTTCATTTTTTCTAATACGTTCAACTTAAACCTGGCCAAACTGCAATCTTGTTTTTTTTTTTTTTTTTTTTTTTTGAATGTGTAATTGATTTAAACAAAATTGTGAAAATATGTACAAGAGAGTATCAAGAATAGCAAAAACAGAGCATTAGAGCAGCTCTGCTATGATAAACACGTAAAGAGACACTAGATAAGAGAGTAGAAATCCCACTTCATGTATGTGCGACGAAACGGCGAACCATTGTTGTAGGAGAGCTCGAAGCTTTGGTCGGGTCATGTAATCTAGGGAGTTGATCCTATTTCGGACAAACTTTTCAGCTTGTCTAATGATCTGAAGCATGGTGGAGTATCCACTTTGATGGATCTGCATGTTTTTCTCCTTCCAAAGGACGTAGATGGTAGTTTGAAAACAAAGGCGGATAAGGATGTCATGTAGATGATTTCCAGTCCCTCTTGTCAGTTGTGTCAAAGTCGTCTCCCAATCTGGGTCTTCGCAGTACCTTAGGAGTGATCACGCTAGAGCTGACCATACATTAAAGGAAAACCGACACCGATGTGTTTACATAGGAAAATAAAAAATTTTGTGCTCTAGTTTTTTTTGGCTAGACAATTGGCACGAACATTATTGTAACACGTATATCTAATATAAAAAGAGGGGAAAGAAGAACTTAAAAGCTCAAAATGTTAAATCTCTACTACAAACATAGGCATCTATTTATAGGTGGAGAAATATAAATCATGGAAAAAAGCTAAAAACCGATTCATGAGAAAAATGCTCACAACTTATATTTACGAACACGTCGATATCGTTCTCAAAATCTTTGATTGTGAAACACATACATATAAGAAATAAAATGGATCACCTTAGAAATATATGATTTGTAGATAAATGTGAAAGAGTTTAAGCAATTGAGACAAGAGTGATCGATATCAATCACGAACAAAGTGATGCATCGCAAAGAAGGATTGAAATGAAAAATGAGCAATGATGGCCGTGGTCTAGTGGTAAAGAAGAATTGGGAAAAGGTTGGAAGAAACAAGTTCGATCCACCTTGAAAACAAAAATCACATTTGTGTGGGAAGTCTGGGCTTGGATTTTGGCCCAAACAATTCACATGGTATCCGGGATTAGGCTAACTGGATACCTCCGAGTATTAGTCGGAAAACATTCCAAACTTGGAGTTTGACAGTGTGGTAGTCCAACACCTAGGTGTTGGCAACGAATCCACATTGTAGCTCTTCGGTGTGTTCCCCCCGGAGCTGACCGGATCAGTCGATTTGGTATATATATATATATATATAAAAGAGCAATGGTTTTCCTTTTTTTTTTATTAGCGAGGGAAAAGAGTATTTTTTTCCATCAAATAATTTCATTGATAACATATCGAAATTACAAAGTCAGTATGTAGAACATTCGAAAACAAATTATTACATAAATAGATATATTCGCCATAAGGCAAAAGAGTATTTATATTAGCTAATGTTTATTTCATAAATCATAATCTCTCAAGCTCTGATGGTACTTTTTCACCACACAATTTATTTGTACAAATTTTATAAACTAAACTAACATCTTAAGTATTTATTTTACTTCAATGAACACTTTTTTTTTAAAGCAGTGATAACATATACTATACCCTTACATTATGACTTTTGTCCAACTACTGTTAAGAATGGTTTCTCAAAACTGAATGGGTTGAAATTATTAGGTTGAACAAAATTGGTTGAATCATCTCCAAAAATGTGGATGAATAAATTGAACACTTTTCCTTTATAACTTGTTCATATTTTCAACTTTTTAAGGCCCTAGGTTGAATGGGTTGAATATTTTTTTATAACTTTTTCAACTCAAATGGTGAAAATTTATGAGAAATTGCCTGTAATAGCCCCAAATCAAGTTTTTGGGACAAGAATAGCACTCAAAAGTATATTGGACAAAAATAGCACCTTATTTTTGATTTTTTAAATTAATAAATAATTATAAATAAATACAAAAAATCACAAATTCATCGTTAATATTTTTCCGCCAAAACAAAACCATGTCAAAATTTTCCCGCCAAAAAAAAAAATCGTCAAAATTTTCCCTCCAAAATATTTTCCGTTCCCGGAAAAAAAAATCGTCAATATTTTCCCGCCAAAAAAAATTCCGTCCGACTTTTCCCGCCAAAGAAATCCAAGAAATTCAAGAAGGATTCCACGATATTTAGGAAGGATTTCACGAATCGGGAAACCCTTCCTGAATTACGTGGAATCCTTCCTAAAATTCATGAATTCATGAAAGCCTTCCTGAATTACGTGGAATCCTTCCTGAATTTCGTTGAATCCTTCCTGAATTTCGTGTAATCCTTTTAGCAATCCTTTCCTGAAATTCAAGGAATCTTTCCTGAATTTCGTGAAATCCTTCTTGAATTTTGTAGATTTTTTTTTTGCGGGAAAATTTTGACGGAATTTTTTTTGTGTGGGAAAATGTTGAAAAAAAATTTGGCGGAAAAATTTTGATAAAAAATTTTTGCCGGGAAAATATATTTACGTGGCGGGAAAATTTTTTGCGGGAAAATATTTATTTATTTATTTTAATTCAACTAATTATTCATATTTAATATTTATTTAAAGTTTATAGTGCTATTTGTGGAACTTTTCAAATGTAGTGCTATTTTTGGAAGAAAAACTTATTTTAGTGCTATTTTTGTCAATCTCCCAAAATTTATTGACTATATTTTTTATTATTTTATGAAATCCTTCTTTCTTTTTGTCACCTAACTTTTTCTTGTTACTCATTCAAGGAAATCTATTTTACTGCTTTGTATTAATTATATTAATATGAAAGTAATAACAACAAATATATAGATTGCATAAAGATTAAAAATTAACTTTAGTGTAATTTTTTCCTCTTAAGTCTAAATAAAAAGATAAGCCATATTATTGTCTTATTTGCCTTAATTTATGTCTTTTAGTTTCCTCAATTTCTGGTCTTCATGTCCTCTAAAGGTATAATATATTTATTAGATTACATATTATCTCTAAATAAAAAAATTATCGTTTTATACGCAATCACATGCGTACACGTAGGAGTGGAAAAGATACACTATCCAAAATATAACAAAAACCCTAATGGGTCAAAGCACCTTTCTTTTACTATATAAACAATCTTCATACCAGCAAAACAAACACACATAACAAAGATAATGAACATGAAGAAGAAACTTTCACTTATCAAAAATGGAACATCGAGGAAAACAACATTCAATAAAAAGGAAGCCAAGGTTGATGAAGAAACTCACCGAACTGGTGACTTCCTATGATGTCAAAGCATGTGAGGTCATCCACAGTCCGTACAACTCAAACCCTGAGGCTTGGCCGTCAAGAGAAGGTGTTGAAGAAGTAGTGTCGGAGTTTATGGAGGTTTCCAGGAAAGATCGGAACAAAAAAATGATGGATCAAGAGGCTTTTTTGCGTCAGAGGATTGAAAGTGAACAAGCGCAGTTGCAAAAATTGCGTGATGAAAACCGAGATTTGAAGACTCGGGAAATTATGTGGGGTTGTCTCGAAGGAGATATTGATGTGCATCAACTTGGTGAAAAAGATCTTCAAGATTTGAGTTCTACTATTGATAACTATCTCAATTGCGTTACTAACAGGTTTGAGAACCTTAAGAAGAATGGTGAGTCTTCTTCTTCTTTACCTCCTCTTGTTGTTCCAGATCTTAATGTTGAAGAGGATGGGGACATTCCTTCCATTGATGGCAGCACCCACCAATCCGAAACTAATCGTCTCGCTGTAATAACTACCACCGTTGCTGATGCTTGTGCTCCTAACATCACCAATAATCCTAAGTCCTAAGGGGATTCTTCTCTGATTGAAGAATTGAATCATTTGCATTTTTATTGTCTTTCATTTTAAAAGTTAAAATTTAAAGTGATCTTTTTTTGTTTTCTGATTTTTGTAATAATTAAAAGTTTTTCCTTTAAATCCGTTGTTATGTTATTTTTGATTACTAGGTAAAGAATTTGCATGGGAATTTTTTAGTTTTATTAAAGAAAATATAATCATATTGAAAAAATAATCAATAGTTCTAACATTTTTGTCTTCTAAAATACGAAAAATAAATCAAGAGCACTAGACAAAATCTGTGCCAATCACATCAAGTTCAAAAATATAGAATTAATACCCAATACAATACCAAAGTAATTAATAGGATTATGATGAGTATTGGGGTTATTTCACTCTCCACCTTATTTGCCGCCGCAAGAACCATTTAGTAACTTTAGATCCAAAAACTTTTTAACTACACTGCCTAGAAAATTATGATCAAATGTCATGGAGCAAAGATTAGTTATAATCAAAACATATCTAATTCAAGAAAACCTCGTACAATCATCCTTAACTATCATCTCCATTCACAAATCTTTAAGCCACCAAATTTATTTTTGAAAACCTCTGAGCTTTAAAGATCTCCTATATTGTTTCCCCAAAAAACCTATGTAACTCTAGCTAAGGGGCTGAATGATGAGAAGGTTTTAAAATCTTGGAATCATCTTCACATTTGAGATCTTTTTTTTTTTTTTGTCATCTGAGATTATATTAAATCCACATAGGATCGAAACGGTTTACATCAAAACAGTCGCATAAAGGACTGAGACCAAACACCAACACTAGCACCATCTCCACGAACAACCAGAGAGGCCTATACAAAAGAAAGAGTTCAAGAAAAAGCCAAAGAACCGAGTACAAGCATGTACCACCTAACTCATTCAGAACAAAAGAATGACCTCCAACCTAGAGCATCAAACAAGAACTCAAAAAACTAAAAATCAAACAGGAGACAAACCCTCCTCATCACTAAAAACTCGAGATAGCCAAGACGGAAGACCAGAGGCAACATAAGATTGGCATCTCGAATCTTCAGTAACACTTTGAGCAATAAGGTTTGCTCCCCTGTTTGCTGCAGCCACTTCTACTTCCACCTTCCACTCCACAAAATACATGAGGGACATAATTAAGGCCATAGATTGAGCTTTAAAAGAAGGCCATCCCCTTGGTCTGTTCACGGCATCAACTAGGGTCTTGTCTTGAAAGGAGAAAATGATTTTGTCCACTCTATGACTCTTCATACTTTCCATAGCCCAAAGAACACATCTAAGCACAACATCACTTTTACACAAAATATTAGCAAAAGATCTTCGGCTATGGAACAGAACCTTACCCCTTTCATCCCTAAGCACCCAAGCGCCCCCAGCACATAACTTCCTCTTTGACCAAACAGAGCCAACATTACATTTCAGCCAACTATTCAGCGGTTTAGACCAAGTCTTTGCTGAGACAACACCACCACTCTGAATATGGCACGACTGTGCATTAAGAGCAGCATCCTCTTCCTTCTCCACCACCTGCGCTTCAAACCACTCCAAAACATCATCTCTGGTTTTACCAACAGTCTCAAGAGCCGAGAAGATGCGTCCCTCAAAGTTGAGAGAGTTTCTGTTGGTCCAGATTCTCCATAAGATCCATGGGAAACTCTTCCTAAGATTAACAGGCCAATCTTTATTGTCTCTATTTTCCAAAAGATGATAGACATTGGAAAAAATAGAACCATTATGGAAGCCAAAACTGGGAGCAGGATAGTCAGAGAGAGCCCAAATCTGTCTAGCTAAAGGACAAAGGAACAAAGTATGGTTAGTTGACTCACCCAACTCTCCACAAACTTGACAAGTAACATCCACATTCAGCCCTCTAGTATTCAGATTTTCTGCCACAGGAAGCACTCCACTAAGAATTTTCCATAAGAAAATCTTGATTTTTGGATCAGTCTGAGTCTTCCAAACTAATTTTCCATAAGAAGGCTGAACACAAGCTTCATTTCTTATCGCAGCAGATTTGGCCAGATCCACCAGCCAATAAGCAGATTTCACAGAGAAATCTCCGCTTTTGTTGTGAGACCAAATATCAAAATCTTCTTGGGAGACCAGCGGCTTGATTGCTTTAATTGTTTGAATATCCTGAGGCAAAAACAAATCATCTAGCATCTCAGAATTCCAAAAACCAGTTCTTCCATCAATCAAAGCACTCACCTTCAAATCTACTTGAAAAAAACCATTTTTCCTCTATGGAGCCCTATATCCATTGTCATCAATCCATGAGTCCCTCCATACTCTGATTGACTCACCATTCCCAACCTTTTTAACAAGTCCTTTCACCAAAAGATCCCTTCCAAAAAGAATACTTCTCCATGCAAAAGAAGGTCTCTGACTCATTGATGCCTCTAGAAAATTCGACTCAACAAAGTATCTGTTTTTCATGAGCCTTGAGAGTAAACAATCCGGAGCTTGCAAAATCCTCCAAGCCTGCTTAGCCAACAAAGCTTGATTGAAGGACTGAATATCTCGAAAACCCAAACCACCATAATCCTTTGGTAAGCATAGTCTTTCCCAACTTTGCCAATGGATCTTCCTAGAGTGTTCAGCTGCGCTCCACCAGAAGGAAGCCATTGCACTCTCTAGATTATCACATGTTGTCTTAGGAAGTTTAAAACATGACATCGCAAAAACCGGCATAGCAAGAGCAACCGACTTTAAAAGCACTTCCTTGCCACCTTGAGAAAGACACCTATTGAACCATCCAGAAAGTTTAGCATATCAATCTTTGACCCGTTAAAACACTCCGGAAGCCCTAAGTAAGTGCCAGCTCCTCCTTCAGCTAAAATTCCAAGGCAGGACTGAATGCTAACCTTAGTCGGTCCATCAATCTTATCACCAAAAGTAATAGAGGATTTGTTGAGATTTATGGTTTGACCAGTTGCATTCCCATAAATCCTAAGAATATTTTGAAGAACCAGACTCTGTTCTAAAGACGATTTGCATAGGAATAAACTGTCGTCAGCAAAGAGTAAGTGATGAACAACAGGCCCAGAATCAGCAAACTGCATACCTTCCAGAACACCTTCTCTTTGAGCCATATTCAGGAGATGCGTCAATCCTTCAGTACACAGCACAAAAAGGAAAGGAGACAGCGGGTCACCTTGACGTAATCCCCTCTGAGGATTGACTAGGCCATAAGGACAGTCATTGATCAAAACAGAATAAGTCAATATAGATACACAAATCATAACCCAATTCACCCATTTTAAGTGAAAACCCAAAGCCAACAGTAAGGATCTCAAATAGCTCCATTCAACCCTGTCATACGCCTTTGACATGTCGGATTTGACAGCAATGAACTCCGAAGACATTCGAGGATGGACCTTTAGGCTGTGAACCAACTCATGAGCCACCAAAATATTATCAGTGATGAGTCTTTCAGAAACAAAAGCCGACTGGGTGTTTGAAACTATCTCAGGCAGAATTGGCTGCAGCCTTTTGACTAAGATCTTTGAGATAACCTTATATAAGACTGAACATAGGCTTATAGGACGAAGGTTAATCATCTCCGTGGGGTGACTAGTCTTTAGTATCAAGCACAAGTGAGTATAATTCCATTCAGCAGGCATAAATCCTTCGACAAAAAATTTTTGAACTTCAGTGGTCACTTGAGGTCCAACAATAGACCAATAGTGCTGGAAGAACATAGCAGACATACCATCTGGACCAGGGGCGCTAGCAGGTTTGATTGAGAAAAAGGCTTCCTTAATTTCTTGGACAGTTACCTCAGCTATTAATTCAGAATTAAAGGAGTCAGAAACTCTCGGTGATAGACCATCAAACCAGCTCCCAAAGCTCTCAGGATTTGAAGAAGTGAAGAGGTTTTGGAAGTAAGCAGCAGCCACTTCCCCTTTTGCTGCTTCAGAAACTTGAAAATTCCCATTGATATCTTTTAACTTCTCAATCCTCTTTCTCTGCCTGTTCTCTTTAACTGCAGCATGAAAATATTTAGAGTTTCTATTACCACTTCTTAACCATTTCTGTCTGCTCTTTTGCTTCCAGTAAGCTTCTTCTTTTCTATAAGCTTTTGCTAAATTTCCAAAGAATTCAAGGTATTCTGTTTTTTCCACTTACTCAGAGATCTCCTGCATTCTCTCATTCTGTCAGCTACAGAGACCAGAATCCCATTCCTTCCTTGGTTCCACGATTTAGCAATAGTCAGTTTCACATCTTCTTTATGGAGAAGCCTTTTGTCGAATCTAAATTGTCCCCTATAAGCCTCTTGAGAAGAAATTAGCTTAATTAGGACAGGACGATGGTCCGAGCCTCTCAAATCCAAAAAAGCTTGGTTTGACACCGAGAAAGAGCTGAACCATTCCGAGTTTCCAAAAGCTCTATCAAGCCTGCATTGAATCCAGTGATCACCTCTCCTACCAGCCCAAGTGAGTTTGTTTCCCGTACTAGGCATCTCTGACAAATCACAGATTCTAATCATCTCATTAAAACCCTTGAAATCATTGTCACTTCTTCTAGGCCCTCCAACCTTTTCCCCATTATGCAAAAGATCATTGAAATCACCAACCAAACACCATCTATCCCTTCTACCAATGCCTATACGGGTGATACTTGTGGGTGTCGGATCCCGCACCAGAAGTACGAGACCAACCAAAGATTGCCACGTAATCAAGATAATGGCCCATAAAGGATGAAGCCCATTGGACCCGTGAGCCGAAGGGACGGTCGAAGTGGTTGTCACCATTTCGATAATCCGAAGTGACTGCACTGTGACACGAGTTCGGTGTAGAAGACACGGGTAAGTCGGTTCAAAGACACTTGGGCCAAAGGAGGCGAGGCCCATGAAGATCAGAGTCAACTCAAATTCAAACGTTGAGCATTAAAGTCGAAGAATCAAAACGGACACATTTAAGAAGGAATAATTGTACTTAATTGCTCATTTTAATGTCGTTTATCTATGTATAAATATAGAGGCCAATGGCCATGTAAAAGGGAGCTTCCTCTCAAGAGAGAAATACTATAGCAATTTTCGTAGCAATT